GATTGTGGAATCAAGGAAGCTGGTATACAGCAGAGAAACACAGTGAGTAATAATACCATTTACAGATGGAGGAACAGAGACTTGGAGAGACATTAAGGGAGTTAGTGGAGCTGGGAATGAGAACACAGAATGTTGAATTCAAATCCAGAGCTGCAAGACGCTTGCCTTCCTTCTCTTGCTCATACACTTCAAAGGAGAGAGTTTCTGGTAGCACAGAAGAGCCAGCAATACCTTAACCTTCTTTTAAGTGGGCAAGGGATGTGCAGAATCCTTCCAGTGACTACTCCTTAATAGGTTCATCTGAGGTCCCCATCCTAAGCTAAATTAATTTTAAAATTCCCAGTGAAGCTGGAAGTTTGCTCCAGAATTTGGATAAGTCGTTAATTGTTTGAAATTTTCTTAGCTCAACTCTCCCTGGTTTAATTACTTTGAAATTGTTTAATCTTTGACTCTGGCTACTATACAAGATGCATAATAAAAGTATTTTTGATTTCACATGCTGAAAATCACTTTTCATTTAAGTCTTATAATTGGTTTGCAGTGAGACGGACTCTGGTAGTATCGTAAATGTAACCAAGATAAAATGCCACCAGGAATCACTCTTGACATTTGTTTCTGAAACTCAATCTCTCTGAGCTGCAACTCATTCTCGGAAGCAAATCAGCAACGCCTGTTATTGTTTCATAATCTTCCTCAAAAGAGAATCAGTATAATAATTTCTACAGCAATTACCTCATTTCTTTGTAACAGGCAACAAAAAAGCCATCAGAATGGATTAACTTTGTAACAAAATCTCATTTTGCTTCCACAAGGAAATGAAATACAGACTACCTCCATGCAGCTACTTGAGTTGGCAAAGGACAAGAAAACCATTCAGAAGATATTCAGAATGTTTTTAAATGTCAGACACATCCTACAGGAGCATTAAGGTGGCCTTAAAACATGGGAGACATCTTTTGGAAAAGCACGGCAGACGCCTGCTTGTATACACAGCTGTCCTGTTCTAATGTCTTGTCAGGGCTATGTATCACATTCAGAGCCCAAGGAGCTCTTTTTAACTCAAGGCTAGTAAAAATAAGTTGCTTCCCTGCAAAATGGAAGCAACTTTGTATAGCACTGAAAATGATTCCATTAATCTTTGGTTCCAGATGTTTCAATTAAGACAATATCTTAAATCCCACGATTTCTGTGTGGCTCTGCAGTTTTGGAATATTAGTCCTTATTCCTTTTGTGACATTAAACTGTGAAATAATAAAAAGCAATCTTTCACTTACCTTAATTTCCTTTTTTTTTTTTTTTTTTCTTCCAGCTTGGCCTGCTTCTGCCATTGTGTACACTACATCAGACATCTTCTGGAGACATTATTTGTTCACAAGTTTTCGGGAGGGCACACTCCTCTGAAAAATATGATAAAGGTGACAATATGTTTATCATATTGTGTAAGAGAGAATATCCTCATATCAAAGCAGTCCTTGGAAGAAGATAGGAAAATAAAAAATAATTTATTTTCTAGCTCCAGGAATTATGATTAGTCAAAATACAAATATAGGAAGAATTTCAGGGCCATGTGCCCAAGGACATGAACTGAAATCAATGTCCATTTTAGCTCCTGCATGTCAATGTCCACTTTGACTCATCCACCCAAGGGGCTGATTGTCATGTCCAGGATATTTTTCAGACTGAATGCTATTTTATTATGAGATATGCTGCTGCAACACTTAGAAATGCTGACAGAAATCACACTCCACTTCCTCGGTGCAATATAAATAGAAAGAAAGAGACAGGCCTTGCATTAGGAAGCTAAAATCAAATTACAAGTAGAAAAAAAAATATATTCTCCTTCTAGAGATGGAGGCCTCACGAAGGAATATACTGAGCTGGCCTAAAGTCTTCTGTTTCCCAAAGCCTCCTGAATTTCAACTGTGTGTCACTGCTTATAGGCTTTCCCTTCTTTTATCTCACATACTCAATCTTGGTCATTTTGTATCACCCTACCCCCCATCCCATTCGGTGTGATGTAAAGACTCGCCCTGTAAAAGTTTTGCAATACATTTAAGATTTTAGTGAAGCAGATAAACGTATGGCCATGATAGGGGACTCAACTCGATTCCAGACAGAAAGGAGGTAGCGAGATGCACAGCTAGAGATGTTCTTTTAAAGTACACAGCGTTTAAAAAAAAAGAAAAAAGAGGAAGATAAGCTAAACGGCTTTGGAGCCAGAGTGCCATTTCCAAAGTGATTCATGCATGTGGGAGTTAAACACCCACAGTTACTCTTGTCCCCTCGTGTCTGTGGTACAGGTACCATAGTGGCATTGCATAAAAAGATTAAAAAGAGAAAGCCTGACTTGCAGCCCAGCTTATGGGATGGAATCATAGAATCATAGAATTGTCAAGGTTGGAAAAGACCCTTAAGATCATCGAGTCCAACCGTCAACCTATCACTGCCAAGTTCATCTATACCATGTCTTCAAGCACCGTATCTATCCGTTCTTTAAATACCTCCAGGGATGGAGACTCAACCACTTCCC